GCGCACGCTGCTCAGGAGGAGGAGCCCCTCTGTGTTTCGAAACTAGTAGAGCTTTTCTCAGTATATTCACGTGAGTAACCCGCGATTTTATTGAACAATTAAACTTGGTATAATTATACTATCCTGGACACAACACTGCTTACTTTATATTCTTATAAAGTATATACACGTAAAAACAAACTTAATTGTGCGGCTCAATCCCTAGACACAGTTACGCAAATATAAGTTTGTCGAATGTTAAGTTACATGCAGGCTGAAGGGATCGGGATGAAATTTGATTTGGTTTAAGAAGGGGAACTATCAATCTCATGGCATACAGTTTGTAGACCTAGCACCATACTGTTATTGCAAATGGAGACGTACAAAAATTAAAATACCTAATACTTTTAAAAATTTATCGAGGTCTAGACACTTACCGGGGCTCCGGCTCGACGTGCAGGAGAAGGAACGGGGTGGTTTTTATTCAGTAAAAGTCTGACACTCCCTCCCGCCTCATCCAGGCGGGAGCAGTCATTCGATGATTTTCACCCCTTAAAAAAAAGACACTCTTAACACAAAATCTAAGAAAATAAAAAAATAAACACTACATTAAAGAATCAGTGTATGTTTAAAGATAAAGATTTATGAATAACTGCGATATAAAAGTTTCAACCGTCTAACTCCCACATACTTTGAGCGTTTGATTTATTCCCAACTAATACTGAAGCGGCAAAACTTTTGTAAACATTTGTTTTATTCCTCTTCTCAAGTTTATAAGCTGTTTACGAGGTATTGATTTGGTATCAATTTCCTTTTTCAAGTTATTTTGATATAGCGTAATATAATATTACAAATTTTTAAAAATAGCGTTGAGATTTCTTGTATTTTATTAGGATTCCCGTATTATAAGTGATTAACTACTGTTGACTGTACTGTATTATCTAATTAACATGCTTAATGTCTGAGGATAATTATTTAAGGAAACTGCACTAAAATTGGTTCATGTCTCGCAATAATTTCTTATAAGAAATCTATACTTAAATTGATTCATTCACACGGGAGCTACAGTGCTTAAAACAGACAGACAGACTGGTCTCTTGCCACCGTGACATAATAATATCATAATAATAAAAAAGGATGTAATAAAATTATAACATCCTTTTTAAATCATTGTTTTTGGCTTACTCACGTTACTGTGTGACGAGGAACTCGACTAGATTCAAGCCATGTTAGGAGTTCATATGCATGAGCAGCATTTCGTGACCGCGCACCGCAGGCTTGAGTAACCAGTAGTAGCGAAACAGACACTGTCACGTGTTACGGATGCCTCATGCCATGCAGCATGAGGCATCCGCATATGCATGACATGCATATGAGCCTCTAGTATGACTTGGAACTAGACAAAATCATCAAACAGTTCGTGAGTAAACATAAAACAAAATAATTAATTTAGTATGTCTCACGAAAGTCATTAGGTATATAAACATCGCTTTTTGTTGCATTGAGACTTAAAATATCTATGTCAATGCCATGTTATTGACCAATTGATTATAACATTTCGATCTTTTCAGATGAAACATTAGCAATCACTAATCCAAATTATTGTCTATTAACTTGGACAATAAATGCAAACTCTGTAATTGACATTAAATAGATCATGAAGTTTTTTGTGGCAAATTATGAATTGCGAATTGGTTTGTATAGATCGACAGATGTTAATTTTTAGATATGGCTCGTTTAATGTTATCTAACATCACATTAATTTAAAACTAACAAAAACTAATTACTATTCTAAGTATAGTAGTATTTAAGGAATTTCGTATTTTAAATTGAAGTATTCTTTTATTAACACTAGACATTCTAGAGTTAACAATGTAAACCAATGTGAAAAAATAATTCAATTATAAAAATTACACTAAAAAATTATAAAGACATACTATATTCACCTATGAGGAAGAGTCCCTCTATGACTCGAAACTAGCAGATCTATTATTCTCACTATATTTTCCCGAGTAACTCGCAATTTTTAGTTAATTACTGAATTAACTAAAAATTGCGGCATACTTACTGATATCTCATGATACATACATAACATCACGCCTTTTATCTCCGAAGGGGTAGGCAGAGGCGCCTGCACATACGGCATTTAATGAAACTATACAATGTAACACCCACTTTTCACTATATTATGTTATGAGTCCCATGTAACAGGGAGGCCTATTGTCGTATACCGAGCACATTTCCAGACACCGAGCCTCACTTCACTACCACTGAAGTTTTTTTTTAAAACCCAGTAATACTTGCCCGACCCGGGAATCGAACCCGAGACTTCTTGCCCAGCAGTCGTACTTGCGACCACTCGGGCATTGAGGCAGTATCTTATGATACTTAATATAAAAATCTATTTGTATACTTTACACCTCAAGTTATTTCTAAGTAACCTCAAGTCAACAAATCCTAATAACATTTACTTAGCTCTTACTTCACGCGTTTTAATACAAGGGCGGTGACTACATAAACTTTATAGCTACGATACGTGTTTAACCCTAAAATGATGTCTCGATAATAGTCCTGTCATAACTTCAGAGTGTTTCACTTAACCCTCGCGTGAGTAATGGTTCAGATATAAAACCCTTTTATGACGATTATTTTAAAATCTATTCGATTTTGCGAGTTTGTCGCCCTATTCGAGATGTTTCTTTTATATTTTTGTGTGATTTATGAATTTTGCATACAATGTCAAGTTTGCGCGCCATTTTTGAGCTTATTATGCATTAAAAATTCAAGTCAGATAGGTCTGAAGGTAATTCGTAAATTTAATTACCTACCGAATGACTTGCAATCTAATGTTAAATCTGACCATGGAATATTTCATAGAATAACTTCTTTTGAACATCTACCACCAGTTAAAAGTGCTGGGCAAACAATAATGATCATATTACAAGATTTTCGTACAAGGTAGCTAATATATTAATTTTTAATATGTAATTTGTTTTATTTCAATTTTTTTATTTACCTACAACTGCCTCGTTGGTCGAGTGGTCGCAAGTGCGACTGCCGGGCAAGGGGTCTAGTGTTCATTTCCCAGGGTTGGACCAACTATTATTTGGTTTTATTAAAAATAATCTTAGTATATAATAATCTCAGCCGGTATACGGCAATAAGCTCACCCCCTATTACATGGGACTCATAATATTAATAGTGAAAAGAGTATATTACATTGTACAATGGCATTAAATGCCATAATGTGCCAGTGCCTACCCCTTCGGGGACAAAAGGCGTGATGTTGTGATGTCATGAAAAATGCTATATAACTAAATAAAAGGCAATAATTACGATCTTCATGATATATCTTCAGAACGATTGGAGCATTCAACATTACGTAGAAACCGAATCTCTAGCAAATCTGTTAATTAAAGTGACAATGTTATGAGATTTACTCCACAAATTTAACACAAGCATTAAGGAGGTTTAAATGTTAAAACAAGTTTAGTATTTAGTACTTACGAGAATTAAGATCATACTAAGTTATTCATGACTTAACTTTGCTTGAGTCATAAAAACTTGAACTATAAAATAAACATATTACATTTTACTGTGATATGAAGTTTGGAATATTAAGGCAGGTCCAGGCAGGTGGGAGATTATGAACGTTTATACAAGGAGTCCCTAAGGTATGAGAATAGTCTTTACAAACTGGCCAAAGCTTCTATGTACCTACCGACTTAAAAAAAGGAGGATGTTCGACTGATTGTTTTTTTTTTACTTTTTTTTGCAACGATTTCCAAAATTCTTGTTCTATTTGAAAGTGACTTCTAAACTATCAGTGGGTGGGTAACCTATCAGATACTAACAATAGTTATTTTTTGCCTTTTAGTTTTGACTTTTTGTTTTTTATTAGTTTTTGGTTTTTTGAAGTCGGTTTCTTAAACGCAGTTTTTATTTTATTATTTTATCATTTTCAGTATAAAGCTACATAGATCCTTTTTGTCACTTATAATCTACATAGGTGCAAAGTTCTAATCATTAAAAAAAAATGAAGTTTGCCCCACACTAGGATTTTCATCTGTGTCGTGGATGCGTTAACAAACATACAAGTTCACAAGCACATACATGCACACACATCACACCCAGACCCGAAGCAACAATTTGGGGATCACACTAACAGTTGTTCCTTGCGGGAATCGAACCCGCTACACGCGGCAGCCGGTTGCCCAGACACCGCACCAACCTTGCCGTCCAAAGCGTTGGAAAAGTAAACAGGTTCCTAATAATAATATGACGACTAAAAATATTATATTTTCGTAGAAATAAAAATAGACGTAATAATTATAAGGTTGATCTCATTATTATAACGTTGCCAAAACGTATAATATTATGTTGCTTTGCCAAAAAAATATCTATAAGAAGATCCATGTCGCGAAAAAAGGGTCTAACATTTTTTATATCTTGGTTGGATATATTTAGATTCAATACTTCACTACATAGTATAAAATAAAGTCGCTCTCTGCCGTCTGTCTGTCCCTATGTATGCTTAGATCTTTAAAACTAGACAACGGATTTTGATGCGTTTTTTTTAAATAGATAGAGTGATTCTTAAGGAAGGTTTATAATGTATAATACATGCATATTGCACACGTGCGAAGTCGGGGTGGATCTCTAGTATAAAACAATAATTTAGTGATGATTTTTTATTTAACTTTTAACATAACATAACATCACGCCTTTTATCCCCGAAGGGGTAGGCAGAGGCACATTATGGCACTTAATGCCACTGTATAATGTAACACCCACTTTTCACTATTTGTTATAAGTCCCATGTAAGGGTGAGCCTATTGCCATATACCGGGCATAATTCCAGACTCCATGTTACTACTGAGAATATTTAAAAACCCAGTAATACTTTGCACGACCCGGAAATCGAACCCGAGACCCCTTGCCCGGCAGTCGCACCTACGACCACTCGGCCAACGAGGCAGAGTATTTAACTTTTACATTAACAATGATTTCTCTATTTCCAGGGTGCCCCTCAGCTCATAGTGCCGTTCTTGGCTGAAGCTGGCCACGTCTGCCCAAAGACGCATAACCCAGCAGACTTCGTACTGGAAACTCTAGCCACTGACATTGAAACAACTGCACCATTATCAGAGCTGTGCCAGAATGGAAAACTTTCCAGAAGATTGGATAGAATGATACCTAGAGGCCGGTAAGTAGATGTTCTTTTAAATAAGGCTTATAAAATAATCACGATAGATAGATGAATGATACCTATTATATTGTTTACCTTATATATTGCTTACCACCAGGCTGAATAGTGGTCAAACGTCTACACATGACCAAAAAAATGTTATTTATAGTAACTATGTATATATAAAAGCTAGTATATATATATATATACTAGCTTTTACCCGCGGCTTCGCTCGCGTCACAAAAGGATAAAAAGTAGCCCATGTGACATATACCAATACATACAGCGCCATCTATATCAATACTTTTGTTTTCCCTCGGGAATACCAAATTTTTCCGGGATAAAAAGTACCCTATTATTTAATCCGGACTTCTAACTTTACGTCTGCAAAAATTCAAAGCAATCGGTTTAGTAGTTACGGCGTGATAGCGGAACAAACAAACAAACAAACAAACTCACTTTCGGATTTATAATATTAGTAAGGATATATATTATTTAAACGTTGCCCCACACTAGGATTTTCTCCTGTGTCGTGGGTGCGTTTACAAACCCACAAATTCACATTCACCATGACACCCAGACCCGAAACAACAATTTGTGAATCACACAAAGTGTTGTTCCGTGCGGGAATCGAACCCGCGACACGTTGCATGGCAGCCAGTTGCCCAGCCACCGCACCAACCGTGCAGTCAAACTCATACTAGCTTCTACCAGCGGCTTCGCCTACGTTCTCGTTTGATAAAAAGTGACCTATGTGTTATTCCAAATCACAACCTACCTCGGTTCCAAATTTCATCTCAATCCGTTCAGCAGTTTTGAAGTAAAAGAGCAATAAACACACATCCTCACAAACTTTCGTATTTTGTACGATACAATTAATATCACCATTTTTTTTTCAGAAAACCCGTACTGCATTCAGAAGAGTCAATTCAGAGAATATTCACGGAGCATGTGGCAAAAGATCAGCTTTCTAAAGTTGAATTTCCGACGTCCTTCTGGGCACAATTTCTTATATTGAGCAAACGAATGTTTACACAGAACCGGAGAAATTCGGTAAGCACGATTATTTTATTGTAAAAACTATGTTTTTTTTAAACTATGTCCTTTATTATTATATTGGCAACCCTAAAAAATAACAGAAAACATTGAATAAGTAAAATTGCAAAGGTTCCCAGACACAGATGTAGCTATAGACTTTGTTAAATGCTACCCATGAACTTTGTAAAAAGATTCATTAATTAACTTTTTCCATTTCAATACCATCTGCTTTTACGACTAGAGATCATTACACATACATAGAACATCACGTATTTTATCCGCGACGGGGTAGGCAGAGGTGCAGATTACGGCTTTTAATGCCACTTAACAATATAATATCCATTTTTCACTATTCATGCTATGCTATTTAGGTTTTCTTATTCTTATTGTTTGATTTATTTAAGGACTGTTCTGTTTTGTTTTGTTTTTTTTTCTTTTTATAATTATTTGAAATGTATAACGCCTATTGTTATACTATTTAATTGAAATAAATAAACAAATAATAAATAAATGAGTCCCATGTAATAGGGGGTGAGCCTATTGCCATATACCGGGCACCGTGCTACTACTGAGAATTAAAAAAAAAACCGCAGTAATGCTTTGTCTGACCCGGGAATAAAATCCGAGACCCCTGCCAACGAGGCAGTCATCCATAATAAACATAATTTTTAATTTCAGACTTCAATATGGATTCAATTGGTCCATCATATTTTATCAGCTACACTTCTGGGCAGTATATTCTTCAATGTTGGTAACAACGCAGCGAATCCTGTGGTCAACTTCAAATTTTGTTTGAGTTGTCTAGTCTTCTTCATGTACACGCATACTATGATTCCTGTTCTCATATGTAAGTAAAGGTTTATTTATTTATCAAAATTCTATAACGGATTTGAAATACCCATAAGGGTTAACTAAAAATCGCGGGTTACTCACGTGAATATACTGAGAAAAGCGCTACTAGTTTCGTAGTGCCGGAACGTAGATCCACCCGAGACACAATATGTTTTCTATTGTGTCTCATATACCGGTATTCAAGAGGTTAAAAAGACCTAATACTTTTTGCTACTGATTTTAATACAGTCCTCTAACGCATGGCTTAGAGTTCAAAATTGGCAAATAGGAAAAAAGTAGCATTTTATTTAAAGGAAGTCATTTTTCATTCCGTTCTACGTTAGTATAACGTTAGTTGTAATTCTGTCTCCAAAATTCAAATAAGATGTTAAGTAAAGTACCTAATACTTTCTTAAAATTTTTTTTTTTTCTTTTACAGTTCCATTCCAGGTACGCTTACTTCGACGAGAATATTTTAATCGCTGGTACAGTCTCAAAGCATACTATATGGCTTTGACATTAGCCAGTGTTCCAAATATGGTAAAGACAATTATCAATTTTATTTTTTAATCAAAAAGAAACTGATTTGAAATGTTAATCATAGACTGCCTCGTTGGCCGAGTGGTTGCAAGTGTGACTGCCTGTCAAGGGGTCTTGGGTTCGATTCCCGGGTCGGGCAAAGTACTACTGGGTTTTTATAAATTCTCAGTAGCACGGAGTCTGGAATTGTGTCCGGTATGTCGCAATAGGCTCACCCCCTATTACATGGGACTCATAACATAAATAGTGAAAAGTGGGTGTTACATTACACAGTGGCATAATGCACACTTCTGCCTACCCCTTCGGGGATAAAAGGCGTGATGTTATGTTATGTTGAAATGTTAATTTCATTATTTCAAGGTTCCTGCTAGTATCAGACTCGTACAATTTGGACTAGGTTTAACCTCGGTAAAAGAGAAAACATGTCTTGAAAAGAATTACAACATTGTAATAAAAAGTCAAATTATTTGTTTTCATAGCATGCATCCACTATGATGTGGATGTTATTTAAGTCTTTTATGCCTTCATTTGTGGACTAAAGATAATATTTTCACAAAAAAAAAAATTGTCTTACGAATATGATTATCGCTTACCACCAGGCGAGATAGTAGGCAAACGTCACCCATTAAATATTTAAAAAAAATTGAAATTATAAATCCTTTTTACTAATTTTGTCCTATTTACCATATTAAAAGCAAAGTTTGAAGAAATTTAAATATACTTTCTCTTTTCAGATAATTCTTGGAATGTTATTCCTGGTTATTTCCTATTTGATGTCTGGTCAGCTACTGGAATGGGATCGCTTCATATTGTTTGCGATCAGTGGTTTGCTCATAGCTACGTGCTCTGAAGGACTTGGGTTAGCTGTAGGATCTGCTTGCAACGTTACTGTGAGTACATAGTTACTTTTTAAATTTATTTTGATTAGCCATTTTTTCGGGTGAGGATACTCTGTGCGTCCAGTAAGCATCGTGAGAAAACTTGGACTTATAATGTACTGATTATAAATTTGAAATCACCAACCCACCTTGAGTTAGCATTGTGATTAATACTTAAACCTTTCCTTTTCTTTTTTGAAAAGAGTAACGAGGGAGTTTCGTGCTCGTTCTTCTCCATTCGAAACTACACTTTAGAACGATCATTTAGCTTCAAAAGTATTTAATCAAGGATTAATTGAAATGAATGCTTTGACTTTAACTTCGAACTTTCTCCATCCAAAAATACGCTTTTGCTCAGTAATATGCGCTTATAAGCTGATGATGTGTCAATGACGTGAAGTGTGATGTGTGACGTGAGCCTAGCAAATGGCGTCATTATGATTGTTTCTCAAAACCAATTGCAGTAATACAGAAATTGTTTCTCTAATTAGAATATCTGACTATATTTTATGCATAAATTTCTTCTCATCCTTCGAGCATATTTTAGAAAATCTTACTCCTAATTACAACCATTCTATTATAATGGGCGATTTTAACACGTGTCTTGCCAAGCAAGATACTCGAGCATCATCTTTTCGTTCCATAATCCAATCATGCAACCTAACTATCCTACCACTAGCTACAACTCATCATTTTCCAAATTCCACACCTTCTCTTCTTGATTTAATCCTTGTCTCTTCACCTACACATGTCGCTAAACATGGTCAATGTTTAGCAGACTCCTTCTCTTATCATGACCTAATATTCCTTTCATATAGAATTCGCCCTCCTAAAATTAAGCCTAAAATCCTTCTGCAGCGCAATTTTTGTGGTATAAACATTGATGTACTCCGTGAGGACGCTGGTGGCATCGACTGGACTGATCTAATCGAGGCGGAGAGTGTTGATGCCAAGGTTGATGTTTTCACTGGGAAAATTATTGAATTGTACGACAAACATGCTCCCATGCGCCCTGTAAAGATCAAGCATCTCCCAGCTCCTTGGTTGACAGACGACATCAGAAAGATGATCAATAAGAAAGCTGCAGCAAAAGCCAGATTTAAATGTCAGCCCAGTGCAGAGAATCGAGCGAAATATGTGGGCGTTCGCAATCACTGTAGTAGGATGTGTAGGGAGGCGCAACGCCACTACTTTCATAAATCCGTCAGTGATGAGGACCCAGCGAAGATTTGGAAATTTCTGAAGTCAATGGAGTTGGTAAAAATCATGACGAACCTTTTCCAAATAATTTAAATATTGAGTCTAAACCATTTCTCATGTTCTTCTTCCTTTAACTCTACTGTTAAAGGGAACACACTAAAACATCTTTCTTCTTTACCAACCCCTGAAAACTCTCCTTTCGTATTTAGTCGTTTTAACCGTCTGTGATGTTAGGAAGAGTGTAGAATCAATTACATCTAATGCTGTAGGTGCGATAACATTAGCCGTAAAATGGTGCTACCTATACTCGACGAGATTCTCCCGGTCATCACCCACATCCTAAATTATTCCATTTCCTCCGCAGTTTTCCATCACAGTGGAAAGATGCACAGATTACGCCACTGCCCAAAAAACCTAATCCCAAATGCTACTCAGAGTACCGTCCTATCTCCATCCTACCATTCCTCTCAAAGGTCCTAGAACGTCTTGTACATAACCAGTTAAACTCCTACCTTCTCCGTCATCAACTCCTAAATCCATTCCAATCCGGTTTTCGTCGAGGCCATAGCACTACAACAGCACTTGTACATATTGCTGATGACATAAGACTCGGCATGGAGAATGGAAATCTGACAGTGCTCTCCCTACTTGATTTCAGTAACGCATTCAACACTGTCGATTTCGATGTCCTTCTCGTATTCTGCGCTCCCTTAACATATCTCCAGCGGTAAACGATTGGCTTCAGAGTTACCTGTGTGGCCGTCGACAGCGTGTCCGAGTGGACACAAATTTCTCGACTTGGCGTAGTACTGCTGCTGGCGTGCCGCAGGGTGGCGTCTTATCTCCTCTTCTTTTCGCAACTTTTATTAATTCCATCTCTGACCAACTTCTATCTTCCTACCACCTTTATGCAGATGATTTGCAGATTTACGCGCAGGCACCGCTCGAAGAACTCTTGGAAGCAGTCAAAATGATAAATGCCGACCTGACTTCAATATCCAACTGGAGCTCGACTTACGGGTTAAAAGTGAATCCAGCAAAGACTCAGCTCATTGTTATCGGCAGCCCCAGACAGATAGCTAGAATTAACTGGACGCATATTCCACCGGTCACGTTTGATGGAACTACAATCCCGTACAGTAAATTTGTCAAAATCTGGTATTCTCTTTGACAGCACTTTGTCCTGGGCTCCACAGATTCAAGAACTGAGTCGCAAAATCTTTGCATCGGCGGCGTCCTTAAGAAGACTTCGCAATTTTTTACCAATCGCCACTAAAACTGCGCTTGCTCAATCTCTCCTTCTTCCCATCTTGGACTACGCTGATGCCTGCTACCTGATCTAACAGAGGCACAACTGGACAAACTTGAGCGTCTCCAAAATTTCTGTATAAGATCATATTTGGCTTGCGCAAATATGACCATGTCTCGGATTTCCGTAACAAGCTCAAGTGGCTTCCTATCCGTCTTCGCCGGAATACGCATATCCTGTCACTTCTTTACAGTATTCTGTACAATCCTGCTACGCCCCTTATCTCAAAGAACGTTTTAAGTTCCTTCATGACGCACATTCAAGACACTTGAGGTCTACTGCGAATTTGAGATTGGAGATGCCAACACATACGACTGCCTTTTATGACAAATCCTTTGTTGTAGGAGCCATTCGACTGTGGAACGCACTTCCATTATCAATAAGACGGCGCAATCTTTGGATTCGTTTAAAAGACAAGTAAAAGATCATTATCTAACACAGATTCAATAGAGTAACTGCTACCGCATATCCGTATGTATGTATGTATGTATCTGATTTTGTGTATGTATGTGTATGTATATATATATGTATATATGAGTATGTAGGCATGTATGTATGTGTGTACATATTGTATGTATGTATCTAAACTGTTCTGTCATATCCATTGTATTTAATTCAACACTATGAACTACCCACATGGTATCTGCTCTCACGGTTATTTATCCATCCTAAGGTTGCCTGGAAGAGATTGCTGTAAGCGATAAGGCCGCCCATTGTGCAACATGCCAAAACTATTTTTTTTTTTTTTTTTTACCTACCTACTATTTTCTTGTTCGTGTCTTTTGTAAGTGGTGTACAATAAAGTGTTTATTATTATTATTATTATTATTATTATTTATGACAGTTTTACAACTTCATGTTTTATTACAGAACGGCTCCATTGTGGCTCCAGCAATTGCGGCTCCTCTTCTCGCCTTATCCTGTTACGGTATGGGGTACGGACCCTATATCGAAAGCACAATGAAAGCCCTCATGTCGGTTTCCTTCCTACGATACGGCGTGACGGGATTCTCAATAGCCCTCTACCAGAATAGACAGAAGATGGAATGTAATGAAGAATTCTGCCTTTATTCCGAACCAAGGCTATTAATAAGGGATTTAGGCATGGAAGGAGATACCTATATAATTCAAGTCATTGGCTTACTAGGTTTTACCGTTCTTCATAGGTCATTAGCGTACCTCGCATTAAGGTACCGATTAACAAATGAATTTTCAAATAAATTCATGTGTTATGTTAGTAAATTTTTGAAACATAGATAATTATTTTGATTAGACAGTATTTATAATATGAATACAGAAAATTATTTAATACTTTTGTTATTATGATCTCGACTAGTGACAATATTACGATTATCTTGCCAGAGTTTTGAGATCGTTGTGGAGCAAAATTTTAAACTAATTTATATGTAGTTTTGTTCGGTTTGTGGTGGAACGTGAGATTTTTTTGTTACTTTTGTATGAATTATAAAACTGAGAACCGCTTGAGTGCGTGTATATGAGACATAATAGAAAATACATTGTGTCTAGCGTGGATACACGTTTAGACACACCACTGGTTAATGCCTGCTGATATATATGTAACTATGCGTGGCATTGGAGGCGATTAAAGTATATTTATATGCACTAAGTTTACAGAAGTTCGATGTCAACTAGGACTGTTTTTATAGTAATTATCGTGAGACATACTAAATTTATTAAAAATCGTGGGTTACTCACGTGAATATACTGAGAAAAGCACTACTAGTGTCGATCGACAATGTCGTGCAGCCCGTGGTTCGAAACTAGTAGAGCTTTTCTCAATATATTCACGTGAGTAACCCGCGATTTTTAGTTAATCAACTAGGACTTTTAAATTCCAGAATGTGTTAACGAAAATATTTTAACCTTCGAAGTGTCGGTCGGAACGCAGACCTACGCGAGACACTATGTGTTTATAGGTTAAATCACATATCATGAGTAATTAATAGACACAAGTTTTGTTGTTTCATCATCTTTAAATAATAGGTTAATGATTTCTTCATTCGTTTGACGGCCTCGTTAGCCGAGTGGTCGCAAGTGCGACTGCCAGGCAAGGGGTCTCGGGTTCGATTCCCGGGTCGGGCAAAGTATTACTGGGTTTTTAAAAAATCTCAGTGGTAGCAAGGAGTCTGGAATTGAGCCCGGTATTTGGCAATAGGCTCAGCCCCTATTACATGGGACTCATAACATAAATAGTTAAAAGTGGGTGTTACATTGTACAGTGGCATTAAGTAATGTGCAACTCTGCGTACTACTTCGGGTATAAAAGGCGTGATGTTATGTGATTTCTTAGTACTACAAATTCCTTCATTTCATCCTTTACCTTACTTTGAGGTTGTAAAATATAGTAAAATAACTTAACCATAATTAATATTGTAACAAATAATTATGTATTGAGATATCTGTGATAGTTAAAATAATAATTGTGATGCGATAATGATTATATTGAAACAAATGCTTGCCAAACAATTATTTATTATTATCTTGTTCTCATTAGACTCATTCTGACCCACTCGAGGGAAACCAAGGACGTTGGAAATAAGGACATAATATCACTTAGAAGTGATTAAAGCACCAAAATTTCAATAGTTTATTTATGTGTGCGTGTGCAATGGGTTACCACGTTACTAGACTTAACAAAATGACAGATGCCCTTCGTGTCACTGTGTGTAAGTCGCAAATAACCACCAGCTGTAGCCAAATGCCATTTATCGCTTGTCTACATGTAGAATAGAAAACCAAATTATATGGAACTAGCTTTCACCCGTGGCTTCGCTCGCGTCACAAAAGGATAAAAAGTAGCCTATGTGACATATACTAAAACACACAGCGCCATCTATACCAATACTTTTATTTTCCCTCGGGAATATCACATTTTTCCGGGATAAAAGTACCCTGTTATTTAATCCAGACTTCTAACTTTACGTCTGCAAAAATTCAAAGCAATCGGTTTAGTAGCAGTGAAAGCGGAACAAACAAACAAACAAACTCACTTTCTGATGTATAATATTAGTAAGGATTGACGTAAATTTTGACATTTGTCAGTGTCATCCCCATACATTTAGTTTTCTACTCTCTCTGTAGACAAGCGCTAAAGTGGTGTTTGGCTAAAGGCACAGGACACAGTTGTTGTTTCAAAAGACTGTGTTCGTTTTTCAATGTCCTTGAGTGAAACGATGTGTAGAATAGTAATTTTCATATTGATAATTTCATATAACTGGTTATCATGAACTAAAAAGAATACGTAAAATATGTTATAAACCAAAAGAAAAAAAAATTGTGAATTTTTACTTTTGTATCAAAGTGAGCATTAATAATAAAAACAATATAAAATGAGATTGTACCTATCGTTTACATTAAGTACCTAAATAAAATTTATTTAATAATGTGTTATTTAATAAGTGATTGTGGTGGGGTCATTAAAATAAAAATGTTTGGTGAAACATCTTTCATTTATTATTTTACCCTTTTTTGTAACTTATCTTATAAACTAATACTAACAGTCATTTTTAATAATAAAAAGTTAATCATTTAAAGGTATTCATATAATAATATCAAGTAATTATCTTATAACTGCGTTTTCAATTCTTTCTCTACCATTTCTGGTTCTATAGCTGGAGCAGTTTTCTGTGGTGGCCTTCTTGGACCTGAAAACATAAAAGCAAAATAATTAATCTATAAGGTCACATTTTTTTAAATAAACTTGATAATTTAAAAATAAATGCTATGAGAAACACACAATTTATTGAAATTAGCTAAGTATTTTTATTATTTATTATGTTACTAGCTTTTACCCGCGGCTTCGCTCGCGTCACAAAAGGATAAAAGGTAGCCTATGTGACATATACCAATACACACAGCGCCATCTATACCAATAATTTCGTTTTCCCTCGAGAATATCAAATTTTTCCGGGATAAAAGGTACCCTATTATTTAATCCAGACTTCTAACTTCACGTCTGCAAAAATTTAAAGCAATCGGTTTAGTGGTTACGGCGCGAAAGTGGAACAAACAAACAAACAAACACTCCCTTTCCGATTTATAATATTAGTAAGGATATAGTAAGGATTTGGCTTATCCACGTAATTATTTGACGAGGAACTCGACTAGTTTCAAACCATACTAGCTCAAGAGAGACGCAAGGTCTCCTTAAGAATGTGCCGTAATAGGCGTTGCACCATGGAGAATCCGGAGCAGGTCTATTTGAAGACTTAGTGCCCCTAACTGATGCTGAAGATGGCCTACAAGTTGGTTACAGTGAGATAAAGAATCCCACATTGCCTAGTCTTTCTACCCAAAAAACTAGGTGTCTTAAATTTTTCCCCTCGTAATAAAAAAAGTACTAATTACTAAAAACATACCTCCTCCCATAAAATGTTTGATCAGAACAGAGCACGGTGAGTCGATCAGGATAGTAACTATAAATGCTACTACTACCGCCAATAAGAAGTCAGCAAAGAAGTTGTACAGCTGAAATGGTAAAAAAAACGTATTAGTACTTGTGTAAGTCAAAAAGTTCCTAGTTTTTCACTACCTTTATTATAGATACCAGATAAACGGTGATAAATATGTACCTAGTTCAGAAGAATTACGTTCTAATTCAAATTAATTTGGTTAAAGACTATTATACTACATTGTGAAACTGGCCAATAATCGGTTAACAATTATTAAATTTAAATCTAACTTCTTTTTTATTTAACTCGTCGAGTACACTATAGTGTCTATAAAACCGGTACTCGACGAGTTAAATAACTAACAAATAAGTTTTTATTAAAAAAATATTTTGACAAAAGAGCCATCTGTTAGCGTATAAGTGAACTAAGTGCGGTTTGCCTTGAAGGTAACATTCTCTTGATCAAAGCCTGTTTGGTGGGTACATGCAAGCGTTAAATTGTAAGTTCTAGTGAATTTGAATAGAGGGAGCTCCGATCATAGATATTTGAAAGAGGGTATAAATGTTATATAGTGGACTGTTCGTTGAATTTCTATTTTTAAAAATACTGTTTTTATACCTATTGTAAAAAAAAATTTTCAGGAACAAAAGGATGTAAGTATTTTTGATCGTGACTTTCTATTGTATTACTGGGTTTTTTTCAGTGGTAGAACGGAGTCTGGAACTGTGCCCGGTATATGGCAATAGGCCCCCTATTACAAGAGACTCATAACATAAATATTGAATAGTGGGTGTTACATTGTACAGTGGCATTAAAAGCCGTAATGTGCTCCTCTGCCTACCCTTTCATGGATAAAAGGATTTATAGAGAGTAGACAAAGATATCAAAATACCTTACCGAAAACTGTACATCGAAATAGATGGGTACAATCGGCATTGCAAGTACGACGAACATAAGTGGGTAATGGACCAGATACATAGCATAGGACAGACGTCCTAAAACCTTCCAGGCACGGAGGGATAGTACCCAGTTCACGGGTCCTGAAATAGAAATACAATATCATAATTATTACTTTTCCTAAGTATGATTTCTAATAGGTACAATAAATGCTTCTAACAATTAGTGAATGATAATTGGGTTGATGACAGAGTATGAAAATTAAAAAGATAATTAGTCCGTAAGTTAGGTAATGATAAAATATTAGACTGAAAGGCTCATTCTTCATTGACAGTGGACAGTGGACCGGAAACCGAGGTAGGTGTAAGGACCATTATGTGGCATTATGTGCCTACCCTTCGGGAAGAAAAGGCGTGATAAAAAATAAACATAAGGATTTTTTTTAGAATGGATGTGAATTGTGAAGTAACTAAAATAGGGGGATTTTTTTTACTGCACCTCTAAATACTCCACCACTCCACTTAATAAATCCAAGCGGTCACCGGTGACCGCTTGGATTTATTATAAGGGCAGGTTAGGTTACGAAGTATTAGATAGTATAATTGATTTATTTGATGAACAAATTTAGTGTGCAATTCAGTATTTTTGGTGGTAATTTCGAATATTTTGATTGAAAAAGGGAATGTACAGTTAAAGTATTAAATACCACCCCTAAAATAGTAGGTACATACCTCCATATCCATGTTCGCAAGCAAATATCATCCATCCAATGAACATGGCCCAAGCAGGTCTCATGAAGGAATTGATCATGCTATCAGCGAATTGGTTATTCCAATCCAGCTGCATGATGGGATACGAGGAGTATATGATGAGCAGGGCTATTACTGTTGTACAAACCCACATTACTGCTGCAGCATACTGGAAAGTGTAAGTAAAGTAATTAAGACAAATAATAAAACTGTCTGATGCTGACTGCCTCGTTGGCCGAGTGGTCTCGCAAGTGTGACTGTCGGGCATGGGGTCTCGGGTTCGATTCCCGGGTCGGGAAAAGTATTACTGGGTTTTTAAAAAATCTCAGTAGTAGCACGGAGTCTGGAATTGTGCCCGGTATATGGCAATAGGCTCACCCCCTATTACATGGGACTCATAACATATATAGTGAAAAGTGGGTGTTACTTCTGTGTGCACCTCTGATGTTATGAATGATGTAATAAAACTGTCGAAAAAGGTCGTATATGTGACTACAATGCCATTGAGTTTTATTGAGATTTCAATATGAAGTTATCTTGTGTAGTTAGAAATAGGTAGATATGCTGTCGTACCTAAATCTTATGCAGAGTTGGGACTGAATCTATTGCGTCGTAACTTAATTGGCCAAATACCTTTTTAACTCGTTAATGTAAATAATATTTTACTTACAAAGTTTATAACAACTTTCTTTCCTCGATTGAGATGTAATATATATCCAAATATAAGTCCCACGAAGAATGGCGATGCTCTCGTCAATGTGTTCACATAGTAATTTATTAAATAATCTGGAGTGTCTAATGGGCGTCTGAAAATAATTAGATCACTTTGTTTCATATATTGTTTCTCTAACAATTTGTTTACGATATTACATCACCCTTCACTGCTGATTTGATGAGAACAAAATTTCACTATCTAGATAGAATATTGATCTTGATAGATTGCCTCGTTGGCCGAGTGGTCGCAAGTGCGACTGCCGGGCAAAGGGGTCTCGGGTTCGATTCCCGGGTCGGGCAAAGTATTACTGGGTTTTTAAGAAATTCTCAGTAGTAGCACGGAGTCTGGAATTGTGCCCGGTATATGGCAATAGGCTCACCCCCTATTACATGGGACTCATAACATAAATAGTGAAAAGTGGGTGTTACATTGTACAGTGGCATAATGTGCACCTCTGCCTACCCCTTCGGGTTATAGAATATTGAATTTTTGTGGTAACTACATTGACACGAAGGCAAGCAAGGAGCAAAGTTCTTCACAAAAATTGTGTTGTTGCTTTAAAAGTTAGGTCTTTGAGGTAACTATGACCCAAAGATTTAACTCAAATATTCATTTTATGTTTTAGATCCTCAAAATATTAATTACAGTACTCACGATGGTATAACTGGTCCAGATTGGAACTCCTTTATGAAATTGTAGGTGGTGGCAGCAGCAAGAACAGCTATTAAAGATCCAACGAGAGCTGACCAGGCCAGTTTTCTTTTGCCCGTCAAAATCCATACAAGAACTATAGGCGAAATGATGTGAAGCTGCACGTCTATGGCCAAGTACCAGGAGTGAGAGAGACACTGTAACAGAAGTACAGAATAAATAATTTGAGTGCACGAGCAACCAGCTGCCGCGCAATGTGTAGCATGTTTAATAGGGATGATGACGGGGTATGAAAATTAAAAATCTAATTAGTCCGTAAGTTAGGTATTGAAAAAATATTAGACACGTATTTTTTTTATTTTGTCGTATAATAAAATAATACTAATAAAAAAGTTTTTAAGGGGGCTAAAACGTCATTTCTACGTTTAAAATGTACATATTAGTGACGTCACGTGACATTTCAAATCAATGTATCGTCGAAAGTATTCGTTTCTGTAAGAAAATAAAATACGTGTCTAATGTTTTAAAATAGGACATTAAAATAAAAATTAGGCATCTACCCTATTCCCACATGGAATAACGTGTTATGTGATTCACAAATTGTTCTTCGAGTCTGTGTGTGATGTGTACGTGAAATTGTGTGTTTGAAAACGCGTCCACGATACAGGAGAAAATCCTAGTGTGGACACTATCAAAAAAACGTAATGGAACTGTTGAATGGTCTCATTTTTTATCGATTCTATACAAAAGAATAACAAAATATATTGTTATAGATCATTAGGTCAACTTAATCATATTTATTGCACCTATCGTCGGAATCGGATTTAACGATTTGTAAATAATATTATTCTTCGATAAGATTTTTGTTCCGAAGTTAAACAATCTATTAAAAGTATTGATTATTAACAATCTATTTAGGTTGTTTTTTTATTTTCTACACAACACAGGTGTTGTAATCTTTAATTTAAGCTGAATGAAAACAAACACATGCTTGTCTATTATATACAATTATTTGTAGCAATTATTTGTAGTCAGATAACAGCAAGTTCACATAAAACTTCTATCTTGCATGGTCTTTCCTTCCAAATTTTTTTAACAAAACTTTCGTTATCAGTCATGTATCAAGAATCAATAATACGCCATGTTCTTTTCTTCATTAGGTACTGTATGTTATCTTATAACAGACTTTTCTGACCTTACCTTGTGTCAGTGTTTTTTTTAATGTAAGTAATTTAGATTAGAACACCTATATTGTAGCCTATCCACTAAATAAATTATCATTGCCATTATTTCAAATTATTTAATACGTACCATGTGACTTGGGTTGACATAATTCTGTATATGTAGCAGAGTAGACCACCAGAATACTCGGCATCTATGTGTATTCGTCATCTCAACGTTCCAATATGGACCATCGGCCACTCGGTTGAAGATCGAGATTTGCAATAGAATAACCGCAGCAAGCACGGGGAACATCCGAAGCAAACGATTGAGGTAGAAAAGGTGGAGATTTTTGAGCAATTTTACTGAAACAAAACGAATTATTATAATTGTATTATAAGTTTCGTGAGACATACTAAATCAATTATTATGTTTTCGGTTTACTGACGTAGTTATTTGACGACGAACTTGACTAATTTAGAGCTATGCTAGAGGCTCATATTCATGAGCAGCATTTAGGGACCTGCGACGCGGCGACTGTCGCTGTTGTCTAACTAGTCGAGTTCCTCGTCAAATAATTACGTGAGTAAGCCGAAAACTATTATATATTTTTATTTTATAACATTATGTATGTCTTTACCATTTACGGGGCCACAGAGTCCCGGTCATTTGGGAGGCGTGCGAGGGGCCGAAGCCAACTGCGCAGAGGCCCTTTAGACAACTTTAATATAAATATATTGTATGTACACACAAACCGGTGACTATCCCTGTATGCACTATGGAGATGCATCCAAAGACAGTCCCCGGTTACTGTAGAACTATTGTGGATAATGAAAAAAAAGGTATGGCTATGAATGCGTTGCTGTGGACTAGTAAATATTATTATGATGTGTTTCAAATATAAATTACAATTTTTACGCCTATTTTTTGCAATAGCCAATATAAGTACCAGATACCAGATACAATTTCTAGGCTTCATACTTTCATTAATTGCAAGTCAAACATACCTACCTATCGTACTTAAATAGAACATTTAAGTAGTAACATTAGTAGTTAAGGTAGAAAATAGGCACTACGTCTAATAAAAATAAAGTATTAATAGATTAGAACTATCAATAAAGGACATCCAGATATCTTGTAACATTGAAACTTGATATACGGCGTATTAGTTCTTATAACATAGGAGACGTCTTCAAAACATACAATAATATTGATTATGAAGAAAATTCACAATCTTTGCACAAGTTAAATAAGTTTTAAGTGTGGGAGAGCCATGCTTCGGAACGAATGGGCCGGCTCGACCGGAGTGATACCACGGCCTCACAGAAAACCGACGTGAAGCAACGTCGTGTGAGTGAGGTTACCGGAGGCCCAATTACCCTCCCCTTCCCCAACCTCTCCAATTCCGGAATCCCCAACAATCCTCAAACTCCTAATCCCCAAGATACCGGCACAGTATAAACATATACAGTAGGTTGTCTAAGGCCGCCCGCCGAGTTATTAGCCTACTCTTGCGTTGATCCCCAGGGTTGTCACTTTTACTTTTAGTTAATATTTTCGAACAAGCAGCACTTGATCTAAATTTATGAAATGAAAAGCATATTATGATTGAATATTTTATCAATTTATAAATTTAGTAAAAATAAAAAGCTTATAAAAAGATTATTAACTTAGTAAAAATAAAAAGCTTATAAAAATAAACTTTAGCTCTATACATAGTATTCAGAAAGTAAATTTAGGAATACATTTATATAGAAAAATGCGACTCGGCTACGTTCTTAACAAATCAGATAAACTGTGAAATAAACAATACAATACCACATTTTCTTATAATATTTAAGTATAGTAGGTAATTACATTTCTGGTTAAGTAGGAACTATGAAGAATGATAAGAGTAAGAATAAGTAAGTAGGTATCTCATCATCAAGTACCTACAAATTATATTATGCTAGAAAAAGTGACTAACTTACCTTTCCTGTTCAATAGGTACCTAATCTGAACAGAGACAGTTCTGGAATCAATTAATTATTAAGACACCCAAACACACAGCAATACGTTCTTCTACGATTATCAGACATTTTTTATTTCATTGAACAGTGCCGAAAAGCCGCGAAGCGCGCGCGAACCTCGTGCAGTGTTAGCCCTGCCTGGCGCACTGAGAAACGGGTCGTAGTGGTGGGCGTTGAATGAACGGACTGGTCCAATAGACCGGTCGACGGTCCATGAACGTATCAACTGTTCACGTCTGTCGGATAGACTAGTTCAATGCGTAGACAACTTCCGATGAGTCGACGACGCGACGGACAATACTAATACCTAAAATACCATGGACGCCTAATACCAAGAACTACGACAGATAAGCACACAATAATTGTAAACAAAAAGTTTTTAATTTTATTACTTAGAGGTTAAGTTTCATTTTCAAATAAACATTTCTATACTAATGACTTTTTATTTTCAAGCGAAATTTTAAATTTCGAGCTCGTACCTCTAAAAAAAGGACTTAAATAATATTTTTTGTAAAACTAATTAATTAAACTTTATCTTCAAGCATTAAGGTTTATAATAAACTGAAGTTTTCGGTTCGATCAACCATACGACTAGATATGGAACAAAAATACGTCACTCAAATGGCAACGTTTTTCTAGGAAATGTAGCGATTTTTCTAAGAAACGTGCACACGCATGTAAACATCTACATTTGCAATGCGAGCGACGTATTTTATTTTTTTTTTTATCTAGTCGTATTCGTCTTGTTGATCGAAGCTTGTGCGTATAGTGAACTTTGCTTTGCATTAATTTCGTGTGTACTCTGTAACTGTAAATAAATAGTGTAGCGCGCGACATTCAAAAAATATCATTCGGTTAGCAACTAACGTTCGGGTATCCCCGCGCGCCCCGTCAGTCTCCGCCGGCCGCGCGACCGAACGAACCCGAGCAGCGCCGAAGCTGAACGAATGAGTCCGGTAACAGTCCGACGATCCGACATACGATCGCGTGTCGCGCCAAAAATCTTTATTATTGTTTGTTTTCAATGTTTTGGGCAAGTTTTTATTAAGGAACATTGTTACATAGTGTAGTGTGGCAAGTGTTAACTGTTGACTGAACCTTTGAGCCGATAATTATACGTTTGTGTGCTAAAATCCGTGGCGTTATTGAAACCCCTGTCCCGCCCTGTGATCATTTCCACTCTGAAGACCAGTAGTAAATTAGTGTAGTGTATATTTAGATATTAGGGTAATAGTTATATTACAGTGTAAAATAAAAGGACATACCTAGAAATAATGTCAGGCCGAAGCGAATTGTGGCACCATTTTGAAAAAGATGCTGCTAGCGGGAAAGCAATTTGTAATGTGTGCAAGGAAAAACTTGCATACAAATCTTCTACCGCAAATTTAAAAAGTCACCTTAAACGAAAACATATTTCCGTTTTCTCCGGACTCCAGTTAATAAATCAACCGCCAGCAAACCTGACTGTGCAACAAGCGGATGTATTGGGTGACTTGGGTGCGAGTTCGACATGTAGCGTACCTAGCACTAGCACCGCCAGCACCAGTACCAGTACCCATGTTCAGGATAAAGTGGAGTCTCTTGCAAAACGCCAAAAAATTATGGATACTTATCTAAATAAGAAGATAAGTAATGAACAAAAAAAACAAATAAATCATGATTTATTAGATCTTTGTGTGGACAGTTTTCATCCATTTTCCATCGTTGAGGAGCGTGCATTCCGTAAATTCTGCCGGTGGATACCCGGTTACCAAACTGCCCACCAAAAACACTATCCAACTCCATAATGCAGGAAACTTATACAAAGCTTTTTGATACTGTTCAAAATCAATTAAAAAAAGAAGTCCACAGCATTTGTTTAACTGCCGACATGTGGACGTCATTGAAAACTGAGAGCTATCTCGCACTGACCGGGCACTACCTGACGGATTACCTAGAATTTAAGACTGTACTTCTAGGTTGTTGTCATTTTGAAGGTCATCATACGTCAGAAAATATCGCCTTTGAAATTGAGAAAATAATAAATAAATATGATTAAAACATAAAGTTAATTTCATGGTTACAGACAACGCAGCCAACGTTGTCAAGGCAGTCAAAGAAAATTTAGGCTGGAAGCACTTTGGCTGTTATGCTCATAGCCTTAATTTAGTGGTCGAGAGTGCACTGCATCAAATAAAGCCACAGATTGACAAGGTTAAACGTGTAGTAGCACATGTGAAAAAAAGCACTGTCTCATCAGAAAGGCTACAAAAATACCAGGCTCAATTAGGATTAGAACCTAAACGTTTAATCCAAGCAGTTGAGACTCGGTGGAATTCCACATATTTCATGTTAAAGCGTTTCGTGGAGCTGGAAGATGCTATGCGGGCAACGTTGGGTTTCGTCGATAGACATCTTCCAGTCATTAATCCTGATGACTGGACTTTGTATAAACAACTGTGTCAAATATTGCGCCCCTTTGAAGAAATAACTTCTTCCATGAGCGGAGAAAAATACATAACAGGAAGTTCGGTTATTATTGTCACACGATGCTTAAAAGAAGCATGTCAGAAGCTGCTAGACCGTTCTGATCTGGTATCAGACGCACGCGATACTGTACTGCTTCTTCAGCGAGGTTTAGCAGAGCGGTTCAAATTAATTGAACAAAGTGGAACATTTGCTTTGGCCACATTCATGGATCCGCGTTTCAAAATGCAGGGCTTTTCGGACGCCAACGAAGCCATGAAAACTAAAGAAAAGGTCCGAAAATTAGTGGCCTCTATGATCAGTATGTCAGAAAACGCTGCAACACCTACAGTTACTCCCGAAACAACAGAAACCGATCACGATGAAGAGTTTAGCCCATGGAAAATATTTGACAAGATGGTAGCAACGAGCGTTGCTCAAGGAACGCCACTTTCGAGAGCGATAAAGGAAGTTGACATGTACCTTTCCGATGAGTTGTTGCCACGGAAAGATCAGGCAGGTAATTTAACATGCCCTCTGGAATGGTGGAAACAACACCAATATGTGTACCCTAATTTAAAAAGGATATATGTTACGCAGTGCAACATAGTGGCCACATCCGTTCCTTGCGAGCGGATGTTTTCTAAAACTGGACTTATCTTAAATGAAAGACGCACAAGATTAACCACCAGTAAAGTAGAACAAATAATGTTCATAAATGTCAATTCTACAAATGAAAGGTTTAAGGGCTTTGAAACCAAATAATATATGTATACATGAAGAATTGATTTGATTGTAAATAATAAACAAATTAAAAAAAGTAAGAAAAATATATGAAAATAAAAACAAAAATATATAAAAAAATAAAAAAGACAAAAATTTAAAAAAAATATATAAAAAAAGGAAACAATCAATCAATCAATGTAAATAAAATCAGTTGATCTTCTAAATACGCCTGAATTTTATTCAGCCAGTCCTAAGCCTGGAAAAAGTATGAAGGGAAGATCAAGAAACGATGGTTTCTCTAATTACAATAACCAGTGCAATAGGCAGGTACATCGAACGCAGAACTGTTTACATAGTACAATCAATGTATTACATTCAGTCCACTCGACGTCGCGTCGCGTCAGTCGCTCGCTTGTCGACACGACCCATCGTTCATAATGTACGAGACCGTGAACCGTCTATATTTTGAACCGGTTCATCGACTAGTCGATGAACGAAAATGAACGGTCTAGTTTCGTTCACGCTAATACCGTCAACGACCCATCTCTAACGGGTCGAGATTTTGTTAAAGTGTGCGTGCGTCGACGCATAGATACTATGGCGCACACATATAAGCCGCGCGCGGAGCATTTGTATGAAGATAACCTACTTTGTTCTTTATACTATGATACCGGTGACGCACTTGTAACGCCTCTGGTGTTCCAGGTGTCCATGAGCGACGCCGATTGCTTACCATCAGGTGATCCGTCTGCTCGTTTACCGGTTAATGCCATACAAAAAAAATAATCTTAAGCACTAGTAACTTAAATACTATAGATAGTTATACGACATAGTGTACTATAGAATATTACTTACAACTAGTCAATTTTCCGGCAGTAGTATATACAAGTAGCAGACCACTTAGTGTAAAGAAAGTGTCTACTGTTATAGGAGCTGCTGTGATCCAGACGGATTGGAGTGACGTCATCCACTAGAAATATAAAAATAAATATTTTCGTCAGTGAAGCTTGAAGATTAAACAAGAAATTATAGAATATCTTTGCTGATTAGATTTTGTGCTCAAGAATATTGTATTTAAATAAAATACAATATTTTTGTTTAATACATACTTAAACTCGGTTTACTCACAAACTTAGAAAAATCGTTTGTCACGCAATGCTATTCGTGGTTTTCATAAGCCCCATATACGGCTTGAAATCAGTTGAGATATCTCATCAAACGTGGGTAAGCCGTGAAAAAAGAAATAACGAGTAGGTATGTCATTTTCTTCATTTTGAAATGCGTTCTTATTATTAAAACTTACTGCTAAAGCATCAGCAGGGTTCCCCATAATCTGACTTTGAGTTTGGGTGACGAAAGTGTGACCAATGATGACCCACATCATGGCGAATGATCTGATGCCGTCCAGACATTCTAAGGTCCCAGGAACAGGGGTGTATGTGACCAGACGACGAGTATTTGTGTAGGCGGAAAAGGCCAGCAATAACTTGTTGGTTTTCTTTGGATCTGTTGAATAAAAAAGAGTAATGAGAAAATGTCACAGTTTTTTTTTATAATTTAAGTTAAGAATTATATCTAAAATTTTATTATACATATGACTAGAAAAATAGACTGGGTTGGCTGGAAATTACTATAGGTAGGTAAAAAAATTGTGACAACTGTTCTTATACTTCTATGATCAGAGAATTTTCCAACTAGAGCATATTAAGTCAGAATTAGCCGCGGAAGGCCTAACGGGATGCCGGGACTCCGGTGTCGTGGTGGCCCGGAGGTTTAAGACGCCCGCTTCTCACGCATGAGGGTGCAGGTTCGAAACCTACCAACGGCAAGTACCAATGTGACTTTTTCCGAGTTATATGTACTTTCTAAGATTATTTAGACACCACTGACAAACGGTGAAGGAATAACATCGTGAGGAAACTTGGACTCATAATTTCTAATTATAAGTTTGAAATCGCCAACCCGCATTGAGCAAGCGTGGTGATTAATGCTCAAACCTTCTCCGTGTGAAAAGAGGCTTTGCTCAGCAGTGGGCATTTATAGGCTGTTGATGATGATGAAAGAAATAGGTTAGTTTAGTTAGTTTTTTATACGTTGCCTTTTTTTCGAGGATATTATTAGACGTAGTAGACGTATGGATAGAAACTATTTCTAAAACGTATTTGATTGGATTGTTTAATGTCGTATCACACGTGCTCTTTATCTATCTAATTCCCTATTCTGTTGTGACATACTCGTACGTAAACATATTGGAAATACCAAAATCAATAATCGCTCATTTGTACGAGATTTAATACTTTAATAACTACTTACAACTTGATAAGTATCTCCTCAGATAAAGTGGAATGGAAAAACTAATCTTATTTTTTGATTTTAACTATGATAATTATTAAAATAATAGACGTGGAAACATGATGCTAGCATATTTGTTATCTAATGGTATCTACCTATTTTTTATGATAAGGAGCGCTACTTAGAATGCGGTAGTATTTTAGGATTTTCGTGTCTTATGAGGTATCTTGAAATGAGTATCTACATCGATATTATATTTACATTATTATGGTCAGAATATCACCAACAGGATCTAAGAAGAATAGTATTTTGAACTTCAAGCCCAACGAATAAAATACAATTTTTATGTCGCATTTTCCGTAGGCATTTTTTCAGTACGTGAGATACAGTACAAACAAAAATAAGATTTTATCTACAATACCTATGAAAGAGATGTTTGCGTATTAATGTGTTTTGTACCTCGCAGGTGTTACAGATTAACACACTGATAAATGAAAAAAATATTAAATAAAGATTGATTGCATCAAGTTGTGATTGATTAAAAACAGTTAAACGTTTCAATCAATGAAAATATTCTGTAGAATTATTTCACATCAGTCACATATATTTATTTTTATAGTTTTGCGTTGTGTAAGTGATGTTACCGGAGGCCCAATTAAATTAAATAAGTATAGGTATTCTGGTCATGTCTGCAGCATATCCGACGAGCGGTGGGTGAAACTCACTACTGAGTGGAGCCCACTCAATGTCAATAGACATCGTGGTAGGCCCAGAAGGAGATGGCGGGATGAACTTGACGTATATGAAAAGGATTGGCCACAGAAAGCTTTAAACCGTCAAAAACCCCGAGGACACCGGTGACGGCCACCTATTGTTCTTTAATTGTATCTATAATGACGGTACTCAAAGGGTTAAGAAGAGATGAGTGAAAGGAGGGTAGGGAGGCCTTTGACCTGTTACAAAAAAATATTTTTGTTCAAAAATTACGAAACAAAAGTATCGATAGCATGTACATTTTTTTTATAAGTACTTAATCAATTTTAGTTTCCACTCATATATAAAGACACGTGTGAAAAATATGTATTTTATTTTTAAAACAATTACCGTTGACGACCGATTACAATAGATTATAATTAAGATATTGCAAAATATTCCACAGTAAATACAAATTGTAATTGCATAATCAAAAGTCTAATGAAATGATATCGGTCATTTTTGAGTCATTATTCAAGATAACGTTATGACAATACCTCTATTAGTGATATACGGAAACTGAAAATACGATATTCCCGAAAACTACAAAATAAAAGCCCAAAAACCTTCTTTGTTACTATATACCTATATCTTTACTGTTTCACATAATTAATGATTTAATATATCACGAATACAACATACTGGCGATTAGAATAAGCTATTTCATTCATTACTAGCTTCTGCCCGCGACTTCGTACGCGATATCCCGTTTTCTGCCATTCCCATAAGATTTTCAGGATTTTTTCTATCATAAGAACCTAATCCTCACAAAACTTATAATATAACCTATTTCATTCCAAATTCTTTGGATGTGAATCGATTTTTGACATTCGTTGGATTGAATTTCTGAAAAAAATCGATTTTAATCTACAGATTTTGTATTGAGATAGGTCATTGAAATTAGCAGTTAGTAGCAGGAGTCTCACATGGTATATCCAGCAAAAAAATTCTAGTATCAAAACTGTTATTAACCTTTTAATCCCACATGGTATATCCAGCATAAAATATTCAAATATCCAAACTGTTATTAACCTTTCAGTTCTGCGTAGTACTTCAACCTTACACTCCACTTACAATCCACTACACAATATTTAATGCGGTCAATCTTCTTAATGTTAAATCAGTGAAATTTGAAATTCTTTGGTCTGTTTTACTGCTTTGCTTATTCTTGCCGCAATTGTATATTAGCAAAGAGGCAGTGATGTATTTTTAACATGTTGGCATCCTCTTAACCCCTAAATAAGAACCACGTTCTCATTACGAGTGTATTAAATGGAACACGCTCTACGAGTGTTTTAAATAGGAGGTTTCAACACATTAATACATTGTGTACTCAAACAATTTTTGTGTAGGCAATGTGAACTTACCTTTTTGAAGAAAGATATTATGTCGAATATCGTATCCTGTGCTTAATGCCACGAGAAGAATAAATATTCCAAATATTATTCTGAAACAAAAAAAAAACAATTATTTAATGTAAAAAACAGTAACATAAAAAATAATTACTTATATTGCATATGATAGACATATATTAACTGTCGAATTTTTCAAAATACGCTTTATGACTCCCTTGTAAAATACGAAATTTGAACATACGATAGTTTACGTGGGAGCCCTCGATATTTATTTATTTATTTATTCTTTTATGTACACAATTTTATTATGGCACATAAGGCGAAATGTTGTTAAATTTTAAATAACATTCGACTTAAAAATGTTAAAAAGGTCAAATTCGTCATCAAAAAATATCTTTAATTAGCAACAGTAATCAACCAATTAGTTCCTATAAATACGTAAAGCAAAAATGAGTCATGAAATCAAAGAATTACAACAAAAATTGTAATCATGAACTAGGTACTTACAGTGCAACGTAATCGCCGGCTACCCAGTGCTTATCTTTAGGCAAACGGCAATATGACTCCTCAAACTCAATTGGTGACGTATTCAGACCACCAAATATAGCATTTATTGCTGTTCTTGGTGTGCAGGCTTTTGGTATACAAACGCCAAGACGGAATGTGAGAGCAGCTAAAGCAGAGCTGTAAAAAACATTCAATGAAATGCCTAATCTATACTAATATTATAAAGCTGAAGAGTTTGTTTTTTTGTTTGTTTGTTTGAACACGCTAATCTCCGAAACTACTAGTCCGATTCGAAAAATTCTTTCTGTGTTGGATAGCCTATTTATCGAGGAAGGCTATAGGCTATAAAATATCACGCTACGATTTAAAAGCACCGAGCACAGCGAGTGAAACCGCGCGGAAGTAGCTAGTATAATAGAGGTATTATAAACGTGAAAATTGGTATGTTTGTTTGTTTGTTTTTTTGTTACTTGTTCACGTCATAACGACAGACGGGATCGGAATGAAATTGCCTCGTTGGCCAAGTGTTCGCAAGTGCGACTGCCGGGCAAGGGGTCTCGAGTTCGATTCCTGGGATGGGCAAAGTATTACTGGGTTTTTAAAAAAATCTCAGTATCAGCACGTAGTCTGGAATTATGCCCGTTATATTGCAATAGGCTCGCCCTCTATTACATGGGATTCATAACATAAGTAGTGAAAAGTGGGTGTTACATTTACATTGTAAAGTGGAATAATGTGCACCTCTGCCTACACCTACGGCGATAAAAGGCGTGATGTGATGTTATGTTATGCTCTTTGAGTACCGTCATTATAGACACAATTAAAGAACAATAGGTTGCGGTCACCGGTGACCGCGCGGTGTTTGACAGTTTAAAAGAAGATTTTGATTGTGTTGAAGTTGTCTTGCAATGGTCATGCAATCGTCAATTGACGAAAGCTTGCGTATGACGCATGGTGACGTAGACAATGGACCTAAGCCTAATTATGCTAAATCACTGAATTTGAATATAGAAAAGATAAAAGTCTAAACTACACAATTCTAATCAGTTATTACGTTAACCATGCAGTAAGTATTATTTTTTGAACTTTGATCGACAAGATTGAAATCAATTAATAATTTGTTTCTAGTAATTAAAATAGTAGATTGTGATTTGTTGATAAGTAATAGGTGAATTGATTAGTAGGAAACGCTGACTAAACTATGCGACTTTGTGACTGTGACAATTTATTTGACACTAGCTTTTACCCGCGGCTTCGCTCGCTTCACAAAAGGATAAAAAGTAGCCTATATGACATACCAATACATACAGCGCCATCTATACCAATACTTTCGTTTTCCCTCGGGAATATCAAATTTTTCCGGGATAAAAAGTACCCTATTATTTAATCCGGATTTCTAACTTTACGTCTGCAAAAATTCAAAGCAATCGGTTTAGTTGTTACGGCGTGAAACAGGAACAAACAAACAAAAAAACGAACTCACTTTCCGATTTATAATATTAGTAAGGATACATGCGTACCTAATTAAAACTGATACAATAATTTTGAATTATGAGCGTTAAAAAAGAGAAAGTGGTATGTTAGAAATGAAATGGTACCAATTGGCGTTTCATAGGAGACTATGAAACACCAATAATATTGGCCAGTAGAGATACTGGGCTGGGGAAACAGATGTGCTTCTTTATTATATCTATGGGTGTAAGGTTATGCATGTAACATAACATCACGCCTTTTATGCCCGAACGGGTAGGCGAGGTACACATAACGACACTTTGTGCCACTGTACAATGTAACATCCACTTTTCACTATGTATGTTATGAGTCCCATGTAATAGGGGGTGAGCCTATTGCCATATACCGGGCACAATTTCAGATTACATGCTACTACTGATTTTTTTTAACCCGGTAATACTTTGCCCGATCTGGAATTTGCCTGATCCCTTGCCCGGTAGTCGTACTTGCAATCACCACCGGTATTTTGTTAAAAATCATAATGCAGTTTTGAAATACTTAATTAATTATATTTTGATTGTCACTCCCGTTGATTTTTGTTATAGTATCAGTTTCTGACTGACTTGTACTTTAAATGTTTTATATTATGTTTATAATAAATAATTAACACAAAATTGACCCTTAATTCCGTAAACTTGTGTGATATAGATTTAGATCATTTGGTTCTCATTTCTTTTTTAATGGATTATCTCTAGTGATAATTTCATTTGTTTTTTTGTCCATTTTGGACTCAATAGCTATTCCCGAAAATGTCTTTCTTTTTTTAAAGTTTTTTAAAGCAGTTCTTTAAAGTTTTGTAAGCCAGGGTCTACAGTAGATACAACTATGAAAACACCGATAAACTGAAGTCACAGGGACATGAATAACTGTGTTGGTTCCCGCAACGAAGTGAATCAGAAGATATTATAAGAGGAGAAGAAAAAAACGATAGATTCCACTTCCCTCGGGGAATTACTGCAGGAGATAGAATGAATGGGGATGATGACAGGGTATGAAAATTAAAAATTTAATTAGTCCGTAAGTTAGGTAATGAAAAAATATTAGACACGTATTTTTTTATTTTGTCGTATAATAAAACAATACTTAGATAAAACGAATCAAAGTTTAGGAGTGGGGGCTAAAACGTCATTCCTTAGTATAAAATGTACTGAGAAGTGACGTCACGCGACATTTCAAATCAATATATCTTCGAAACTATTCGTTTCTGTGAGAAAATAAAAAATACGTGTCTAATGTTTTTAAATAATCTATCAGACGGACATTAAAATAAAAATTAGTCGTCTACCCCATTAAGCCTAAAGGCACAAAAAAGAGACTGTTCAACTGGGTTGAAGCCAGTTGCCAAGTACCACGGAAATTTTGTCGTCAGCTGTATATAATAAACAAGTATAAAATTAAAATGTTCACTTACATGCTCTCATTCGTTGCTCCACTGAATGAATCAAAACCTGCCATTGCCATCCGAAGGTCGTTAGATTTCTTTGCAATATTTTCTCTCCATTTTAAATATCGTTGGTTCTGCGGAGGCCATGTGATGTCTGGCCACGTTATATCTGGCAGGGACGGTGTTGATGGCAAACTTGGCCAATCTTGGTCTAACGGTACATTTATCATGCAATATTTCCCTTCGACAACTGAAGTTGGTATTTGTTTGTGTATGCCCAAACATTGATGGTAGTTGCCAAGATCTAGCGTTCCTCCTGTTAAGATACCTCTTGGAGTTCGGATGCCAGCATCGAAGACTGCAAGGAAAAAAGCAAGTTAACAAAATGTTATTGTGAAACAAGTGAATTTATTTCTGCAAATAGGCTACAAGGCAGCACTTTTACACGTCAATTTTATCAAGCGAACGATGAGGTTGACATTTCCTAAACTCTGAGAAGAAATGCTGAAACAAAACTCTCCGAAAGAATTTAGTTATGCGATAGTTTTTTATTTCCTATTATTTGTTAGTGAGTGTTTTACGCCCAGTTCAGAATCAATTCTAAAAAAATATGCTATTATTGATAATGTCAAAAGATGTATCTTTCTTAATATTGCTGCTGTCTTAGAAGATCCCAAAAGCTGCAAATTGATGATTTGTTAAGTTTTTAATACTTTCTAAAGTAATGTTGATTTGCGATTAAAACATGAAATAACTTTAATTTTTCTAACTTATAATTTTACTTACATTCAAATAGCAGTTCTTGGTCATTTTCCAGCATATGGTTTAATTGTTCTTCACACAATTCGGGGTTTAACACAGATTCATAGAGATTCAAATCGAATACATTTTTATGGTCAGGAACGACCATATCTAAATGAGCACTAACTAAGCATCCATTTTTAAAAATGGTAATTAAAAATAATAAAACTATCAACTTCATTTTTTTACAATTTTTTTGTCTATTGTTCATCAAATACGTCCTGTTCCAACTAAATGAACACTTATTTTAAGATTTATGTAGTTTATTTTTAATTGATTGTATCTATTGAGCCAATAATGTTGATAAGATTACACAAATCAATATCATAAACGTAGAACTTACCTACGATGATAAAACGATTAATAGTAATATGTTAGTTTTGGACAGATTTATCAATGATATTATAGATTAGGATGGCATTGTCATAGCTTTGTAGAAACCACTTGTTAAATTACATCGTAATAGTAGTCATACAATAAAAATAATTGTGATAGCAGTAACAAATATTTACTCAACATTGAAATAATGAATAGAAGAAAAAATAATTCTATACAATAGTATAAAAGTTACTATTACTGCAAAGGCCACAAAACGATACCTTGAGGTACACCTTACATTAAAGTTTTAAGTTATCTATATTATTTTTGTTTTAAATGGTTCATTTACTATTTAACTCTCTTATATGCGTGAATTAACAGTTTTAATTAGTAAAGTGTACCATAAAATTATTTTTAATTGTCTTAGGCGATTGTTATAGCGTTCAAATGCTTAACTGAAGTCAAGTAATACTTAATTTTATAAATGCTACAATTTTGAGACAAACAGAATTCATGCAACGTATAGCCAAAGATTGATCATCAACCTTAAAGGAACAAAAATACCTCGTTGAAAATTAGGAAAAGTGAAACCGTAGAATTTATTACTACAGGATTATACTTAGTGTTATCTTATGTCTGAGTATTTAATCCAAATAATCCAACATCACGTGAAGTGCACCTGTTTACTCAACTTAATAGAAACGCTTCTAACATTGATATCGCGTAAATATTTGTTTTTGATATAAATTATATATTTATCAATTAGGCCATTTCATTGGAGAACACGGAAACAGTAGCAGCCGTGTTTATTATCTGTTGTATTTAAATTAATCGAGTCTTTATCTCTATCTCTGAACTACATTCATTTTTCTTCATGCCATTCAGAAAGCAATCTGTTCAACTTTTTGGTAGCCCTTCTCGGTCGTAGCATGATAACCCTACGATCAGTTGTCACGAGACCTAAGGTATTTATCCCAGTATCCCTGGGACGTTACTATAAATCCTAATTCACAGAAGTTGCAGAAATTTTGGGTTGTTTTAATATAAAATGTCTAGCCGATAGCTACTGCTATTGATTTAACGCCTGTTTGATTGTGAAAAGTTAACAAAAGACGTGAATCTAATAGATTAATAACGTTGACAATGATCATAACATTTATTTAGAGAACGACATAAATTGTATAAAAAAATTACAACATTCATTCAAAGGCAATCAGAGCCATCTTCTTAACATTTAGGGAACTACATAAAAAGACAGTAGGTACAAGCGCCCGAGACGGACCTCTAGTTCTCTGAGTAACTGGTTCCACAAACATTCCGTGTAAATTCGATAGGGAGCGCTGTACAAAATTACTAGGCATTTCGTGAGAAAACATAATAAAAACATTTTAACTTTTATCAATTAATAAAACTCAATAATGTATATTTATTGCTTTTATGAATTTATTTAATCAATTGTACGATACATATACTAATTCTTAGAGAATGTACATTTTTTCAAAGAAATGTAAAAAAATCCCTGTCTTACTTAATGCAGAAGTCTTAGAAAATATTATTATCTTCTTATTATTATGTCATAATAAGTCATCAAGTGATCACGAGAATCGATATATCATAAACTAACTTATACTGGATATTAAATACTTAATTTATTTTCGACCATAGTGATTAGCTTATCAAAATTAATATTTTAATCGTTTTAGCAAATTATCCACATGCGTTGACTCGTTGTAAGTTTATTTTTAAAAAAAGGTAAATTATTGATTAATAGTTACTTTTATCGAAATAGAAGATAGTTGATGGTTACATAATAGTTATTTGTTGAAAATGCGTAATTATCGAAAATTATGATTATGTTAAAACAATTGACTCAAAGTCAAAGTCAAAGTCAAAGCATTTATTTCAATTAAGTACTTTTGAAACGTCAACAAATACAAAATAAATAATAGTCTGTCAGTCAGTCCGTCAGTGAAGCTAGGTGAAGCTAGGTGCTCATTCCAAAATTCAGATTCGAATGGAGAAGAACGAGCAAGAACACCATTCGTTACTCTTTTTAAAAGTATGTTCTAAAATGTCTCTGATACATATTTCAATACTCTACGCATATGTAAGAACAATGCAAAGACACGCTTGACGCATTATACTAATAACTTACTATCTCTATAGAAAAAACACAGACAGAACACCAGTAAAATTCTGTCACTGGGTCATGTTGTACACCTAATAAATCTTCTTGTTTTATTGTTAATCTTGCATGTTTACATTATCTACATTGTAACTTCAATTACTTAGAATGTCATGTGGAAGTGCGGAGTCTCCTAACACAAGCAATCCATTGCTTAAAAGGTGATCTCCAATAATTTATGTAATGCCTTTTGTAATTGAAATAAACTTTTTTATTTTTATTTATTTTTATAATAAGACCATTTATCTAGCCAGAGATAGAAAGAACTCAATGGAAATTGTTGGAGGAGGCCTTTGCCAAAAGGCACACTGAACTTAGAGATATCCTCTAAACAGGGTAAACACAATTAACTTCCACAACATGTTAGGTGCAAAATATTAGAGCTTATTGATCGATTGACTTATCTGTTAGATTTAAATTAAAACTCAATAACAGCTATTTCTTAAAAAATGGGATCAACTGTAATAATCGTTATGACGATACCACTAATGAAATTATTTTGTAATAATAATATCTATTACGTATAATTCTTATTTATTACAAATTAATGTCTGGATAATTTAATTAAATTTAATTTAATACTAGGGTTTTCGACTCAACGTATGCTGTAATGTTTTCCAAATGTTGTGCATTGGCAATACGATTATTAAAAACCTATGTTTTAGTTAATGTTCAATATGTAGCAACAACTGGATGTCCAAATAAATAAATAAACATCTTACTTTAGACGAAAATAAATAAGTAATTAAAAATTATTTTTGACATTAGTTTAATGGAACATGAACTTCATCTTCCAAGATTTCGAATTGAAACAGGTTATTAAATTCGGCTGTATGAACACCAGTCTATTGCACCGCCACTCATAAAAGGACCGATACAGCGACGAACAAAAACAAACTTTCAGAGTGCACCATCAATTAATTCGATAGAACACGCAGCTATAACTTAACTTGGCTGTGCAAATCGTCCGGCCTGGTAATTATCGGCAGCATTACTCCTGAGTATAATGTCTCATTGTTAATTGTTAGCCGGGGGATATCTTTGGCGGATCTCTTTAGTCTCTGCTCCTGTCTGCGTTATCTCTGTGAGAGGGCCCGCTTCTTGTAAGGCCGCCTGTTCAGGTTTCGGATATTTTGTCGTAGTTATACACTATGGTAGTATACTTTTTAATATCTAGTTTACTGTAATTTTTACTTAAGAACGCTTTGAATCTAAAACAGCCTTGATCTGAGTATTAAAACGTGCTTTATATTTAATGTAATTAGTTAATGAGAATCGGAGATTTTTTTATAATTTAATTGCAAAAAATATCTTTAATTTTTGTGTGGACAACTGTATTCAATCGCCACCGGTAAAAAACTTTATCAATTCACTTCTCCATATCTATTAAACGTTTTCATAAAATCTAAAATAACATTATTTTTGAACTTCAAAACCACAAACAAGTCCACCAAAACAACAGTCACAATAAATAATTGCAATCTAAACTAAACCAATCTCCATACTGCCAATATTGTCCAAAAGCACATTCATATTGCTTATAAGGCAAATTAATGACCGATAGAATTTTATAAGCCAATGTCTTACTATGAATGGGCATCGTTATCTGTTCATTTTGCTTGCAATTAGCACTCCATGTAGTAGCAGAATTTCTAAAGAATATCAGTATTATAAAAGGTTGATATATGACCGGTGTATGGGTTTTAAGTATGGCTTTTGTGTTAGTATACCATTGTAGGGTACTTAACCCTTTGAGTACCGTCATTATGGACACAATTAAAGAACAATAGGTTGCGGTCACCGGTGTCCTCGCGGTGTTTGACAGTTTAAGGTTCTATAGCTACTGAATTTGTAAGAGGTATTTTCTGTATTGCAACCTCCTTTTTTGGTTCATCATCATCAACAGCCTATAAACGCCCACTGCTGAGCAAAGCCTCTTCTCACACGAAGAAGGTTTGAGCATTAACACGCTTGCTCAATGCGGGTTGGCGATTTGCAAACTTATAATTAGAAATTATAAGCCCATGTTTCCTTAAGATGTTTGTCAGTGGTGTCTGAATAATCTTAGAAAATATAATTCGGAAAAAGTCAAATTGGTACCTGTCGTTGGTAGGTTTCGAACCTGTACCCTCATGCATGAGCAGGCGTCTTAACCTTCGAGCCACCACAACACTATTTGGTTTTTTGGTTAAGTATTTATTATTTTTCAAAGTCAAAGTCAAAGTCAAATTCATGTATTTCAATTAGACCACTTAGAAATGTCAAAACAAAAATTGCAAGTGTATTAAACTGTCAAACACCAAGCGGTCACCGGTGACCGCAACCTATTCTTTAATTGTGTCTATAAATACGGTACTTGACGAGTTAAAAATGTTCCCTCTTTCGGTCAATCCTCTAGTGAATCTATATTGGGCTCGTTGCCATTGCAGCGGTAAGTCCCCTCTTTGAGGAGTGGCTTGAGAGACGCTACGGCGTCCTCACCTACCGCCTGACGCAGGTCCTCACCGGACATAGAAGTTTCGGGAGGTACCTGTGTCTGATGGGGCGGGAGGAAACGCCCGGGTGTCATCACTGCGAGGACCGCCCTGAGGACACGGTGGAACACACAGTGGGAGAATGCCCTGCGTGGGCTGAGCACCGCCGTGCCCTCAGGGAAGTGATCGGCGATGGCGACCTCTCGCGTCCGGGCCTAGTGCAGGCCATGATGC